AGTAAAGTGATGATATATATAGAGGAAAGAAGAGAAAAAGAAACATACAAATATTTCTATAGTCCTCACATAGTTTGAGATGTGAAGAAAACTTGAAAGAGAATGAATAATACAATTTAATGAAAGGACGAACAGTGTCAACCTAGATCTGATTGTAATCGATTATAATCAAACACGTATTTAAGAACAAGTCAAAGAATAGAGAGAATAGCAAAGAGGGTGACAGTAAATTATTATAAAAGAAAGCACAGGTCAACATAGTTCTTGCTCTCGAGCGAGGCAACATATAATATGAGGAAAAAAACAGTGATATATTTTCTGTTTATTATAAACAGTTGCCGCAAAAAAACGCTTTATTGCATTACTGGAATCCAAATACTATTCTATGGTGAAAGATCTATTAGCAAATGTTCACTAATGAATGATCACAGAGATCTATTTCGAGATTGAGTTTAGAACTTTTGATATGCATTCGACTTAAATTTTCAATCATTTCAGAAGCAGATCAAAAATGGTTCATGATACAACGTATATATTACTCTAAGCATTAAAAATATTACGACCAAATACGGCAAGTCAACATTCTAATATATCATGGCTATAGTCATAATATTTCATAGACTAGTCTATGAAGTCGATAGAGTCAATGATAAAATACTGAGTTCAATTGAGGACACAAAAATAACCAAGACGATTGTATTTGTTTGCAATTATATGAACTGTCAGACATACCAAAGCATTTCATTTTAGCAACACATCTAATTATTGTATTTTGGTACTTGTTTTTGGAAATAAAATAGTATTAGTCACATGGATATACATGCGAAATAATGCCAGTATACTTCCGATCAAATCCACCAATTACTTGTGTTATCAATATACCGATGAAAGAAAATGGTGCATGTTTTTTTTTTCAATCTATATTATTTAATATGTTGAAAAGAAGTATCGCCGTTGGACAAGATAAACAGGATGCCAATTGAAAATGCGTCATGCTATGACTTACACGTTGTTCTCTTGTAATTTTCGTTCCTTTCATCATATTTTCAATATTTGCTTCCACAGCTACCTTTATGCAACGAGAAAATATATGTTGAAGCTAACGAAAGAAACCAATTGACTTTGGTTTTGATTCAATCGAGGTCCTCAATATAGGAGTAAGTCAAATGATCGTAATCATTAGTTCTGCTATTTCTCAAATAGCTCAAAACGAATTCTCTTTAATCAATAATGACACCTTCACACCTACATTTCTCGTACTATTGATGAAGCATGCGCACTCATATTCAAAGTTGAACAATCGTAAATTAGGCAATATATTGGCAAAGCAGCCGATCAACATTAAAAATAAGTGACACACTTTGATGATGTCAATCTGATTGAAACTCTAGTAAGAACATGCTCAACATGTACCAATTCAAAAATAAGTTACACCGTCTCTTGTCTCGCCATTTATCACAAAAGAAAATGATTGTTTTCGATTCGTTGCTACTTCACATAGTTTCTAACGTGTGTTTCCTATGAGCGACCTATTTGGAAATAAATGATGATAGAGAAGTATTGGCCTCTTACAATCACCATCATCTACAATGAAATTGAGAAGCATTGCTTGAGAATATGATGGTGACAAGTGAATATATAAGCATGTGTGTCCTTTTCACCGAGCATATCAAAACTGACCGTATAATTAAGACTAGAAGTATCGAAATATTACTATGATTATGAATATGAACTATTTGTCAAATTTTTAACTGCACTAAATTTCTTATTTTATTACGTAATTGCCTATGCATAATTTTATTTGAACTCCATCGGTAAATTTACGGCACGACGTTAGTGTAATGTTTATCACGAATATTAGAATGTTGGCTTGCCACTAATACAAATATTTGAAAATATTCATGGATGTGTGTTTTTTTTATCAGAGTCAAATTGTCAAGTACTTTTTTCAGGTGGTGTGCATCCATATGATTCAATGTTAATTTATCATTATCCAGATTCATTATAGTTTTCTTTATCATTCTTCAATTGAAACAAAGCAACAACAGGAAAATGATCGGAAGAATAATTTCTAGATCGAATATCTACAACAGCTATGAATCGAGGTTGTAAAATTTTGTTGCCGTCAATAGAATTTCTATATAAAATCCAATCGACATGAAATCGATGTAGAAACCATAGTTTAATCATTTCAGAGAATTTTAACATCTGACGAAATTGCCACAATTCTTTTAAAATATCTATATATGACGGAAGGCGTTTGAGTATTTCACATGGTAATTGAATACCTGTACCACGAAAGGTAAATAGTATTGATTGTAGAAGTTGAAATCCATAAGTATTTATGATTGATCCTAACCAACCATTAAATGTTGATGAAAATGAATTCGATACACATATAGATGCCTGAGATTTGCAAACTATCCACGCATCATGTAGAAAATCGGATGATGTCAGTATATTATATGTAGTTTGTTTTGGAACAGAATTAAAATCTCCAAATAAAAGAACTACAGCTGTTGGATATTTCTTTTGCCATTGTTCTATTGTTGATCGAATAATTTTCGCTTGTTCTTTACGTGCTTGTTCACTTTTGACATCTAGATGAGTATTAAAAACAAGAATGTTCATCGATTGATCATCATTTTTTAATTGAAATCGTGCAATATTCAATGTTCGTGCACCAGAACTATTCCAATATTTGCTTTCAACAACTCTTGATGATTTTGATAGCCATATATAATCTTGTTCTATTAATTTTAATACTTGATTATTATATAAAATCGCAACTTGAAAATCCATACGAGATGATGGATGTTCAAAGTCTCAATCGATGCCATCAGGTTGATAACCAATACATTGATAATATGGTGGTAAATGAGATCGCCAATGAACCAACTGACTAGCAAATGGTTCTTGTACACATAGAATAGATGGTTGCCATTTTTCAATAGTTTCTGTTAAATGACAAACTCTCTTTGTAATATGATTATTTGGATCACGCTCTATTCCATCGAAACGAATATTAAATGTCATAACAGACAATAAATCCTGTTTGATAGCTAAATATTTCTGCAATATGTTGGAATCGGCTTGTTCGGTGTAACGTGGAAAAGTAAATAAAAGAACGTCTAGACATTTTTTGGAAGAAGTCTATTGAGTGTGAACATGAGTTTGAAATAACTGACGGTTATACTTCGTGAGCAATAGGTTAACTTTTTGAAATGTGTCAGTATTCATTTCCATTTTCAATATATCTACTTAACAAAAAAAAAGTATTCTAGTTGTTGGTATATATGTTTCATCTTATTGAATTCAAACAGTCATAAGAGCATACTATGTGCCTCTCTAGTATACAAACTGACAAAATGAAGATGTGTACGCTAGTGCAACTTAAGAGGCATGTGTATATTCCGATTAGTTGAATAACAAGGTCAAATATAGCCAAAAAGTATTAGAAACTCTATTTCCAATAGTCAGATTTATCAGACAAACATCAGAGAACAATGATATCACTATCACGCATGCCGAGATAGTAACAATATAGTCAACCTTTTGTAGAAACAATGAATTTTTTTGACTACTTTGACAGATAGATCATAGCAACCAGTGTAACTATCCACACCCTATATACGATTATTCTCAATGCTGTTGTTTCAGGTCATGTTATTATATTAATACAATATTTCCAGCTATTGAAGCAATCGCCAATGTTGGATCACCATTTGTAATTAAACCCATTGTATCTATGTCACTCTTCATACGAATTCTTTTGCAAAAGCTCTATATGCAATTATAAGTCTACAAGTGGAAGCATGATCGGTAGAGAGGGCATTACAACTATTATCAATAAAACTTCTCTATCTTATTTTGTAGATGCCGTAAAATATGGTATTGATAATCAGTAAATTTTGGTTACCCTCTGTTCTTATCGAACAACAACTAAACTATAATCGTTTGCAAAAAAGTAATGGGTATAGCTATTTTTTGAATAATTTTCGATAGCAACTAGAAAGAGATCTGCGATTTTCATCGTTTACAAGAGGAAGTTGGAATCTTGAATACCAGACTTTTCTGCCAGTACTGCACTAGAATCATTAACTAAGGTTTAATAATCTATGAAAGTTCGATGTCGAAAGGTTTCTCTAGCCATAAGTTATTAACGTTTTACTACGTCTGATCGATAGATTTTTCGAGAAAAATTGACTTTTTTCAAATTTTTTTTGACGAAAAATTCAACGTCCAAACTTATTTAAAAGCCTTGATTTTTAAAAAGACTTTGCGAAAACCCTTGATAAAAATTATCAGAGAAGTCTGATATTCAAGACTCGCTGTAGTTTCATCTACTCTTTTAAACAAGGTAAATCACAGATGTCTATCTACTTCTTATCAAAACTTATTCAAAAAACAGCCAGATTCCATTGCTTTTTGAAAACAATTGTATATCTATTTAATGCTATTTATCGTCTAATTGCTTTATCTATTCATTATACTGTTATCGTATCGTAAACTGTGGCGAGATATTCGGCCAGTATTTTTGCATAATGTGACATCTAGTTATATTGTTCAACATAATCTTATCTCGCTTACTCATATTCGAAATAAAAATTGTTCTTCACTGTTTTCAGCTAACTAAAAAGACATGTTTTATTCAGTCTATTTAATCTAAAAATTATTTACTATTGTATTTTGTCATCTTAGTTGATTATTTCAGTTAAGAATTTTATTTCTCACTACCGTGTTACTTAATAAATGACAAAAAAAATAAAACAACAACAAAACAAATGCATAAGACTACAACTAAATAATTAAACGTTAGAAAAAAATAACCTTACAGAGTCGAAAATACAACATGTGGTACGATTTTAAACGAAAGTCAATCGAGATATTAGAAATAATATTCTTGAATAATTCATAAATTGGTTAGATTTTGTCAGTCACATTTAGTATGTTTCATCATTGATATTAATTATTCATAAATCTTAGTTAAAGACAAAATTTTGAACTTATTCCATTAAAAATTTTCCACAATAGATATGTCCTTGAAAATCAAAATAAGATCCTCTATTTAGGTTCTTACCATAAAATCATCAACAGTCACAAAAAAAAAGAACTTCATTAATGATAGAACCATCAATATCAAAACAGTTCTCTGATAATAAAATTTCTTTATTCTCATGTTAAACTGAGACATGAAACGGTTTTATTTTGACAATACAGTCGCAAAAATTTTACCCAAAGATAAAACGATGTCAGAGAGTCATTAAAAAGAGTCATATAAAATCTTTATCAAATCATTGGATAATGTGAATCGATATACATTATTACCTAATAGAGTAATGTGTTCAGGTAAAGTATACTGATCAGTTACAAATTCGAAAGAACTGAAACATAGTTAAGACAATTATTATTTGTCATATTTTTCCGGATTGATCAAAAAATTTCTAGAAACTCATCGCTCAAAATATGTAGCAAGAAAACTTAAAAATTTTTATTATTAATGAATACAAATGAATTCATAGTCTTGATTTCTATCACTTAAGTAATGTGAACAAATTATTTTTTGTTTGGATTTCACTAAAGTGATTGTATGTTTCTCTATTAATTGAAGGAATATAGATGTTGATTTCAATTATGAAACAATTTTTTTTTCCATCAATGACATTAACTGAAATTAACTATTGTAAAATGCTGTCATCTATTATATCAAAATATATTATGGAGTGAAAAAAAAATGTATTTGCATGGTGCTTAGTTTTATCTATACATGAGATAATGAATAAAATTGAAATATTATTTATTAATATTAAAGACTTTGATTTCGTTCGTCAATTATTTAATATTGATCATGTGATTAAAAACAATGCTTTCTCCTACTGACTTTAAAATCGATACGCTTGATCGATTATCGTGTCATATAATATTTACTAACGTTTGCGTTGCATGTAGAAATCGATCAGACAATAGACATATCCAAAGGCAAAATAAATACAGTATTGAAGATAAGAACTTATTATTATTGTTTGTATGTTGTAGAGAAAAATAAAAAATTGGTAAATCATAAAAGATGGCTCGAGGACATCAAAAAGAATTAGCTCGTCAACGCAACGACAAAAATGCTGCTGCAAACAAGCCAAAATCACAAAAAGGCACTGCTGGTAAAAAAAAACAAAAAGATAAATTGCATTTTTTAAAATTTCTAATAATAGTTATTTTCTCTATATGATTTTCTAGCTGCCGGTTTAACTTATCAATGTAGCATTTGTAAAGTAAATTTGAAAAGAAAAGAAAAGAAAATGTTGACTTTGAACAGTAATATTATTCTACTTTTAGACCCAAATGCCGGATCCAAAAACATATAAATTACACTTTGAAAACAAACATCCGAAAAATGATTTGCCCGCTGAATTAAAAGATTCTTAAATTCATCAAACTATTTATGCCCACAAAACAATACATTCACAGGAACACTTCTATTTATTTAAATATTTTTTATCTTTTTTTATAATATTAAAACAGAAAAAATAAAGAAACCTTATGGATCAATATCAATCGATTTTTAATTTTCAAAGAGACACTTGAATAACGAAGATATTTTTCTAGAACAGAAATAAGAAAAACGATTTTTTTTTCGTATATGACTACTTTTTCTATTTCGTCAAATGTTATAAAACGAGTTGTAATGATTAATCGTCATGTTTCTTTTTGTTTCTGTTGCATATTGAATAGACATGTTACTGACAGTCTGCATAAAAACAAGATTGATGAGTGTTCATGACTTTGCTTATAAAAGGATAACAATGGCTCGTATAAGAATTAAAAATCGATTAATTTGGGCGTTGTTAATCTGCATTGCATATTCTATGCTTTATGTGCAAAAAAATTCAATTATTGGATTTGAGAAATTCTTTTTGCAGAAATTTTCTAGGTTTACTGAAAGATATTGATCAAGATGAAGTAACATCATACAAGACGTTAAATTATACGTGCACGTTACCTAAATGAAAGATATGATTATGATATAAATGAAGCAAGTAATATTTGGCGTTTTGGACCTGAAGGAACTAGACCAAATATTTTAACTGATTATACTAAACATGTATACAATATTTAAATGAAATAAAATATAATTGTATTATTAATGTTCAATAGGCTACAATAAAAGGTGTGCTTGCTCAAGAAAAAAATTATGGTGTTCATTTTGATATTCATGATGTTACATTAGATACTGATACAATATATTGTACTCATGGTCAAAGTATTCTAGCAATCCTTCATATAATGTATACCGCAATACTGACAACTAAACTACGACTTTTTCAAATCAATTTATTTATGTGAAATAGAAGTATGTTTACAACAAAACAAATTTTTATGCTCATCGAGCTATAGCAATTGTATTTAGTGTTCGAAAGCTGCTCTTAATAATATTTATGATGCAATAAATCGTTGTGGTTATGTTTTTGAAAAATATTAAGTAGCTAGAACACAAATATTTGTTATTTGGTCGATTTATATTCAATAAAAAGTATCATTAGACTTTATCTTGATTATTGAGAAAAACTATTAGCAAAAAATGAAATAAATCAAAATTTTTCAATTATCTAATCTTCCACCGATATGAATATCAAATAACAACTTACACGTAAAATAAAGGAATATTTAGGAGTGTGAGTATGGGTGGGTTAGACGTTTTCGAGATAAAATCCACAGCCCACACAAACATCTACACTAAATACAATTAAGAAATATCTTCCTTAAGTTCGGATCTCCTCATATCCTACAATCTGGCATTGATCAAGGGTCCGTCAATGACGTCATGAATAGTCTTCAGATTAATTTTCCTGGTGAGAAATCAACACTTTTCCTTTTTATTTGATTGAGCTCTATTTGTTTTGCTATATGTGAGACAAATCTTATCTCGTTTTCACAATCATTTGATTTAGTAGCTTGATAAAACAATTCATGTTAACAAACTTCGAATTTAGTCATGCATATCGTACACGAAAGACAATGACATCCAAAGCCCCAAAGACTTATTGAGCGTGCGGATGTAATTTGACTCGATGCTCTCGGTAAAGTTGAATTTTATACATGATACTTATTGGATTTCGTTGACATTTTGTTGAAGCATATATTTATTCATTGCTCACACGAAAAACAATTCGCTCTGCAAGAATGATAATATTCAATTTAAAAAATTCACGAGATAAAGAACGTCTCATCTTGGACGAAAAAATTCGATTCCAAAACTTAGGACTCTAAGTCCTCTTAATTTTACAATTGATTAAAAACTTGATCGTTTTTTTGGATTATGATGATGTTCGAGCTATTGAAACGAAGCGATCTCAACAACTATTTATATGTCTTTGATGTGTTTTTTAAAAAAATATAGAATCAAGTTTGAGTTTTCTATAAATAATACTTCACATTTTGTATCAGGATTGACACTACTAAATTGCCAATTTATTGTTTTCAGAATAATAGATGGATGGTCATCATTTTACTAGCTGGTTTGAAGGACTTGCACTAATTATGTTCTTGATTAACATCCGTTTTGTTGAAAATCGCAGGTCACTAACTATTGCTTTTCTTAAGATATTCGCATTACACTGGTCCACATTTAATTCTGGCGTCGACAAAATTTTCAATAACAGTTTTATCTGTGTGAAGTTTCAAGTCAAAAATCGACTCTTTAGGTAAGCTAAGTGGAACAGCAGCTTTCTGGAAACGTTCGATATCTCAAGAATGAAACCTACCACCGATCGAATGAACATCGTCTCAATCGAAAATTGATTCAGCAGTTCGGGACGCTCCCTTTTCGTAGATTGTTTAATAAGGGAACGAGATTAAGATTGAAGGTGGAAAAGACAAGAATGAATTTCTATTACTCATTTTCATCCGTTCGTGATGTGCCTTTTTGTACAATTGTTTATCCAGCCTGTTTATGATAATTTATTTCAATCAAATTTCACGTTCAATTATTTGTATTCAATCGCGAAAAAAATAATCTATGAGCTTTTCAAGATATGAATCATCTCTTCAGCGAGTTTATATTTTGCTACTTTACCCATTACATTTCGAGTGAAATCATCGACAAATCGGATATGTTCAGGTATTTTATATGGAGTTAATTTGTCACTGAGAAACATTTTGAGTTCGTCGACTTCACATTTCATTTCTGGTTTCAGTTTTACAAATGCACACACAGCTTCATCAATAAGTGGATCAGGAATTGAAAACACTTGAACATCAGCCACACTCGGATGTTCCAAAATGACTCGTTCAATTTCCATCGGATATATGTTGGTAGAGCCCCGAATGATCATTTCTTTTTTTCGTCCGACAAAGAACAAATAGCCATCATCATCCATTCGTGCCAAATCGCCTGTCCGTAACCATCGATCATCAGTAATCATCTCTGCCGTTCTCTCACGATCATTATCATAGCAAGACATGATCGAATAGCCACGTGCCCAAATTTCTCCTTCGGCTCCAATCGGAACAACTGTTCCGTTATTATCGACAATTTTAATTTCCATATGAGGCAAGCATCGACCAATAGACGTATGTCGTCGATCGTCGTCATGATCGACATCAAGATTACAAGTTAGAAAATTACCAATCTCTGTCATACCATATTCTTGACCTACACGACCGACACCGAGCTCTGTTTCAAGCATTGATAAAAACTCTGGTTGCATCGATGTTCCAGTGATGGAAAGGTATTGTAACGAGCTCAAGTCATATTTGTGTCGGTTCGGGTGTGCGAGAATGTTGCGACATAGGGTGGGACTAGCTATCATACACGTACATTTTTCAGTATCGATTGCCTGCATTATAGCCTCGGAATTGATAGTTAGACCTGGTACGATGACTGTGCAGGGATTCGTCGATGGTAATAGTACACCCATGGTCCCAGTTGTGATGTGAACCATTGCTTGTGGTGCACAATAACGAACAGAATACGATCCAAAGATCAATCGAAGCATTGCGATGGTATTAAACATGGCGAAATTCGTGTGAACGACGGCTTTTGGTCGTCCGGTTGAGCCCGATGTGAGATAAATCAATAGTGGCGTTTCGGGTTTCACAGAATACGTCTCGAATTGAGCTGGATGTTGTCGACCTTGTTCGATTAATGCACTGTATGAATGAGTATCTCGAATTGAAACGAGTGCGTTTTGATTCGATCCAATCAAGATTACATGTTTGAGAGTTGGTACACTCGTGCGTGATTCATGGTCAAGATCGGGCACGGCCTGTTTGAAAGTGTTCAGCGTGCTATCAGTCGATGTGATCACAATGCCCTTGCAGCCAGTTTGATTGATAGCATCCGTTAATTCACGAGGGACGCTCTCTGGATTCAAATGAATCTAATCGATAGAGAAAGTTCATTGAACTAAGTAATATATTCGCCTGATTTTATGTACCTTAAGAATGCCGAGTTTAGAGGCGACATAGCTGAGCAAAACATTCTCTGAACAGGTAGGTAGCAAGACAGCTAATCGATCACCACTTTCGAATCCAAGTTTGAGAAGAGACGTTGCCAACCAGTCGATTTCATGTTTCAATGTTGCATATGTGTACCGTTTATTTTCGCCTGCAAAAACGAGATTAAATCAGATTCGAACGATGGGCACGTACCTTTGAAGACGTAGCATTCATAATCAGGATATTGAGAGGCAAGTTCGTCGAGACTCTGCGCAATAGTTTTGTATTGAAAAGGAAATGAGCATGCATTGTGAACGTAGCTCGACGTGAGCTTTTTTGTGCTGCCATACTCATATTTCGACATCTCTATTTACAAAAGAATGCAAACACATAACGGTTGCTCTATAAATAATGACCAACTTCTGTTTTAAATTTTTCATGTATTTAAAAATAGCTGTAAATTATCATTCTGAGTTCAATCGGTAGAGAATTTTTTTCTCTTCAAAACTGACGCTTTTATTTTTCAAAGAGACTTCTCTTGTCAACGTGATATTTGACAAATCAACATCTACTGAATCGTTTAGCTACGTAGTCAAGAAGACGAAAACTAAGATAGAAAATTTTTGATAACGGTTCCGCTGAAATTTCGAATGTGCTAGAATATTTTACATAAAATTCTGCATCTTTTCATATCTTTTCCAAAATTTTAGAATAAATATTTTTAAGGAAAAGCGCAGCTGAACAATTGAATAGGTGTTGATTTTTAGAATTTTATGCTGACAAGGAAATCTTTTCTGAAAAATAAAGTCGATAGCTTTGTAGAAAAAAAATTCCTACCGCATGGACTCCGAACCAGATTTGTAAATGAGATTAGACGGGAAACCGAAATTAATTGAAATTGATCGAAATCGGCTAGAATCGAAACCGAATTTTAAATTCATATAGATTTATGTGAAATTCATAATTTTTACATCAATCAATTTCAATTTCAAGTCGGACCAAATTCAGTCAATTTTGGTTTTCTGTCTAAGCAATTCCAAGCTAAAAACTGATATTGAAATTGATGCATCTCTGTCAAACGACTACAAGCACAAACTAGCCATTATTTATAGAGCACTGATTACATTCTCTTCTCATCTTCACATGTGGGCCACATTTACGTTTTAAATTTAAAGTGGATAGGAGCGGCAAAGTTATCTCACTAAACAGAACAAAATCAACTTGTTCGACACCACCACAACGATGATTATGTTGTAAAAGGCAATAAAACATTGTTTTTCTATATTGTGGATCAATTACGATTTCTTCTACGTCGACATATTGATAAGAAAAATGAATAAGGACATATGTAAATCAGCATAGAAAATTTGTTAAAGAAATCATACAATTCATTTATGGTGTGAAAACCTGTCCAAAGTAGACAGTCAAAATTTAGATGACGATCAAAGTAATACAAATATGTATGATCCCTGCGAACTCTGACTCAGACGATATCATAGAAATACCAATGAGCTACTCTCATTCACATATTTTTCACAGACAAATATCAACCGCCAATCAATCATTCATAAAAACAACGAATAAAAATGGTCAATCCGTTCTGTCTCAACAATTATTCATTCCAATTCATGACACAATAGGGACATCTATAGTGGAAATTAAGTTTGTTTTTATTCATCTTAATCAATTCTTGTTAAACTTTTCGATACAACATACCGAGAATGTTTTTTTTGTTTGTAAGCAGAGTGGTACATCTTCGAGTTTTCCAGAAAATTCTTCCAGTTTTCATGCCTCTTCGTATAGAGAGTAGCACAGTTTTAGAGAATCATGCAACATCAAGATTGTATGAACCGCATTACTTACCTCTTCAATTGCAACGACGACATATGGCCGCAATTCAAGAGGCAAGTACTACGATCTTACACAGACATTTACGATTGTAGTAATTCTTGTCCCGGACATGATTTATCTTAAAATGTTGCTTTTGATTTTCTTCGTATTATCAGTTCGCAATAAAAACATCGCTAGGAAGACATCGTTTTAAGTCGAAATTCGATTTTTTTTCAGGTGATCTGAGGAGGACTACGACTTTCTGGACATGTTCTCTAACTCAAGAACGCAAACTCACGGACAACAGAACCATTTTAGGCTTGTTAATCACTCGCTACAACTGATCAAATGAACATGATCTCCATCGACAATAGATTTACCAGTTGGGTGTGGGTGTAGCCTTGGGAGATATGTTTGTGGATGTCGATATGGTTGTTGATATGATTGCTAGTATGGGTACGGGCATAGGTGTAACTTTCTTTTTATCAACATTCCTATACCCTCGAGTTTTGAAAATTTTAAGAATTGAGTCGTCTGAAGGTATTGTTTTCGGTTACTTATCTACCACTTGTAATAGCTTTCAGCTGACTGTTCGCAAAGAAAGCAGGAAATTAGTAACAAAATCGGTTCACTTACACATTGATTACATGTAAAAAGCTATGGAGAAAGAATCGGTTACTAATTTGTGTGAGAGATCAGGTCATACTATCATGCAAAGAATCGACAATTGAATAGATGACCCGCTCAAATGAATGAGAATCTCAAAACAAACAGCAGTGCGATGAACGAAAATGAACTGACAAGATAGAAGTATAGTCTGCATATAAATATTAGATTGTGAAAAAAAGACTTTTACTAACTTGGAATCTTTTCTGGAACTGATGATGTGAAAATATTAAAATTATTCAGAACTGCAATAGATGATGTATTAAAGTATTCTAAAGCAATGATGAGTTATGATACGATAAAAAACACTCAACTAAGATCGAAGAAACAATACTATTTAAACCGTGTATCTCTACTTCAATGGTTTCGTCGTTAAATATGTGTTTGCTTTCCTTTATCTGATAAGAAGACGCTACTGTGAATGTGTTGCAATGGTGTCGTACGACTCAGTGCAAAGAATTGATATCATGTCATTGGTTGGAGATTTCGAGTAACGCACAATATACGAAATTAACGACACGATAAAATAGGACAAAGAATGATATGACATTTTCTCAGCTTTGATGCATACCGTATATACTCGTATATCAGAAACAAAGTCAATGAACACGAAAACAAATATAAAGTTTTCTCCTTGGCTAGGATGAATGCAGAGACATTTTAATACGTGCAAACAAGATAAGGAGACCGCTACACTTCACTCAATTCTACTCAGTTAGCATGGTTTATTCATTTGCCGGTGTGGGTGTTGGTGTCGATAAGGGTGTCACTTTACCTTTAATGTACTTGTAAATAATAAATAGATATGTATTTATTGACTTGTGAGTGCGAGTGTAGGTGTGAGGTGTGGATGTGGATTTTTTTCTAGTTTCAGTCATACCCACATCTAGAACCATACTCTTTTCTACCCCTAAGATTATAAACTTAGTATTTGGAGTGTGTTCGTACGAAGACCTAGCTGAACACTATATATATTGCATCCGTACTGCACTTATGCCCGCATAAAAATTCAGCATTCAATACTTTAATTTCCACGTTGATCAAATTATCAATTTATAACACACCGACTTTTTTCCCGATATTTCGTCGTTAGTGTGTTAGAGAGTATTTACAATCATTCAGACAAATGCTGTTCAAAGCTGTGTACTTGTTCCTCTCCTATCCATTGTAGTGGCACCACCGAAACATTATAATCAAGCAATTACCTAGCACCTATCTGCTGTCGCAGCTAAAAGCACTATGTTTGGAAAGATGAAAAGCATTACAATGATTAGTGGAAAACGATAAACAACTTTCGCTCTTTATCCATAAAAGAAATGAATGATTCTGATTAGTCTCTGTAAGAAAATCAAGATGAACAAAAATAAAACTGCGTATTGATAGAGTCTACTTGTTTGCATTTGCCATGATAATGATAACATGCTGAGTCTCTAAATCTCCTATTAGATTCCAAGAAAGGTCGAGAGTCACTAGTGTATGTTGCAAGCTAGAGATTCACAAGAACAAGCATACAATCGAAGCAATCATTACTTTATTGTTTGCTACGCCATTAGCTATATACTGTACGTATGAATTTCCAGTTTTATTATTTGAGCGCTTGAGTGTAGTACGTATCTTCGTGAATTGAAGGTTGACTATAGCAAGAATAAATATTGATGTGCTCAATAACTTACTCTTTTCGATGACTTTGGTTAGGTGTTCTGCACCTGAGTCACTGATTTGGTTATGGACAAGCTGAGTGTCTGTATCAAAGTTAAAATTTCCAAAAAGCAAG